TACTGTGGAAAATACAGACCCAAAATGTTTTTGGTTGACAAACTATTTAGAGGTAAAAAAAAATTTCCATGTATGCAAAGAAAATGTTAAGTGATGTTGACATAATTTGTTGGAATTTAATGGTTTTATAATTGGACGTATATATGTGATCAAAATTAAGATCACAAGGAAATGGCATCACTTCTGAGATGACAGAAATTACCCCCATTCATTTCACCACTGTCAATTTAATTTTTTCTGTTTTATTACAGACCATCTTTGTACAAGTCTGGTACCCAATGACTGTAGCCACAAATTCTAGGTACCAGAAAGAAATTATAGCTCAATATTTAAATGATACAGCAGATGATTTATCTGGCTTGCCTTTTAAATTACATGATTTTGGTTTCCGTGGTGCATCATCTGTTGAGGTAAGTTTGATGGTTAACTAATGTATTTTTTATTAAATGAGATAACTGTTCTATACATTGTACAATATGAATTTAACTTTGTCTAAATTAAATTTTTGAATTATTTGCTTTTTGTTTTCTTCCTACTGATGGCCGGTTCAGTATTTATTATATTTTTGATTGTTCACTTCCATCTGCTATCTGGCTGGACAAAATAGTTTTGTATAAATTCACCCCATGAGAATATGAAGAAGGATTGTGGAGATGATTTTAAATTCTATCTTATTGTAGAGTGCTGGTATTGGTGGAATGTCGCATCTGGTAAATTTTAAGGGTACTGACACTATAGCTGGTATATTAACAGCTAAAAATTATTATCATTGTGATATTGCTGGTTTTTCTATTCCTGCTGCTGAACATAGGTAATTATGACTCTCTTTTGTCAATTAAACTTCTTCCTTATATTCTTTTAACCAGTAAAAGAACATGAGGCAGTATTTATGTTTCAGATTTTCTGCCAGTAGTACAGGACAAATTTTCTCATTTTTAGAAGATTATTGGTTGTTTATCTTTTGGGATAGAAAGTTGAAAGGACTAAAAAAGTATGGGCAATACTACAAGATTAGGATGTTGGATAAAAAATTTAACGAATGTCTTTCTCTTTTCAGTACAATAACCACATGGGGAAGAGAAGGTGAAATAGAAGCATTCCGTAACATGTTAACACAATTTCCTACTGGACTAGTAGCAGTTGTTAGTGATAGCTATAATATTTGGAATGCCTGTGAGGAAGTTTGGGGTGGTGTATTAAAAGATTTAGTTGTTAGTAGAGATGGAAAGGGTACTCTAGTCATACGTCCAGATTCTGGGGACCCAGCTACTGTGGTAGTCAAGGTTTGTAATGTTTCTAGATTTTTAAATGTTAAATGTTTTTGAATTGTGTGTTGTCTGTAGGCTAGTGATATCAATAGAGTATAAGACTGTACCGTAACTTATAGAGTATGAAGTGGACCCTTCATTTGAACTTAATCACCTAACAGATAACAATTTAATGGTTCGGTCGATGTATGTAATTTGTTCTATCATAAAAGATACCCGTTTTTTCAATTGAAGGCTGCTAGCTGATTGAACTGGTAGGAAACTGTAGATATGTTTGTCTAATACAGAGTTTGCTGCCATGTTGGCATATTCTGCACTGTTTAATTTTTTTCTTTTTAGACCCTGAATATTCTTGGAGAAAAGTTTGGATTTAAAAAGAACAGAAAAGGATTCAAAGTTTTACCATCATATTTGAGACTAATTCAGGGAGATGGAATCAGTTATGAATCTTTAGGAAAGATTTTGGAACATATGAAGGAAAATGAGTGGAGTGCTGATAATCTTGCTTTTGGAAGTGGTGGTGCCTTATTGCAGAGATTGGACAGAGATACTCAGAAATGTGCATTCAAATGTAGTTTTGCAGTGGTCAATGATGGAAACGAAGCAAGTATTTTTTTTCTACAAAACAATTGAACTGTAGGGTGCAATAGATGTTAATGCTAATTAAGCCTATCTTAATAGCCTAGGGAAGGGTTTATTAATATCAATATATATTTCAGTCGTCTAATATTTTGTGCAACAGTAGTTAAATGTATTTTCAGCTTCTTTGAAATCTTGCAAACCATAGTTCTATAATTTCAACCTTATACAATAATGATAAAAGAAAAAATAAATAAATTTGTATTTTTTTTTAAAACAACTGTTTCTTTTAAGGTTAATGTTTTTAAAGAGCCTATAACAGATGTTGGCAAGAAAAGTAAAAAGGGCAGGTTATCTTTAGAATTACAGGGTACAGAATATGTTACTGTACAGGAGGGTAAAGGTGATCCTAATAAGGTGAGCTTTTATTCTGAAAATTATACAGATAGTGAAATCATGCATTATTGAAGTTAATCGGCCATCCTTTTTAGATTTCTTTTTATACGCCCACATTGAAATGGGGACATATATTGTCATTGCCTCTGACTGTCCGTTCGTCTTTCCATTCACATTTCTAGTAGGCAAGATAGAGACTACAGTTTTTATACGCCCACACGTAAGATGGGCGTATATTGTAATCACCCCATCGGTCCGTCTGTCCGTTCACATTTGGCTCGTGCTCACTCTACAGGCTACAGTTCTTTATGGATTCTTTTGATTTTTATTTTGTGTGTCAATGTCATTATGAAGATGATCCTTATTGAATTTCGTGATGATTGGATAATTTTTCACCGAAATATCGTGTCTGACTTGACGTTTTTCTCTATTAGCTATATTGTGCAACTCGTGCTCACTCTACAGGCTACAATTTTTTACAGATTCTTTTGATTTTTATTTTGTGTGTCAATGTCAATATGAAGATGATCCCTATTGATTTTCGTGATGATCGGATAATTTTTTCACCGAAATATCGTGTCTGACTTGACGTTTTTCTCTATTAGCTATATTGTGCAACTCGTGCTCACTCTACAGGCTACAATTTTTTACAGATTCTTTTGATTTTTATTTTGTATGTCTATGTCGTTATGAGGATGATCCCTATTGATTTTCATGATGATCTATCGATTTTCATGATGATCGGATAATTTTTCACCGAAATATCGTGTCTGACCTGACGTTTTACTCTATTAGCTATATTGTGCAACTCGTGCTCACTCTACAGGCTACAATTCTTTACGGATTCTATTGATTTTTATTTTGTATGTCAATGTCATTATGAAGATGATCCCTATCAATTTTCGCAATGATCGGATAATATTTCACCGAAATATCGTGTCTGACTTGACGTTTCACTCTATTAGCTATATTGTGCAACCCTGTAGTCACTAAAGTCTGTTTAATCATTTCTGACAGCTGCCAGTGGGCGTATGTTACCTTGCCTGGCAAGCTATCTTTATACAATCTTGTTGTAACTTGTTATGCATGTATGAAATCTTGGTCAAGTACGAAATTAGTAACCATCAGATCAACTGTTTCAGAGTTATTGCCCTTGACTTAGTAAAAACGTCTCAAATTTGGCTTGATAGAGACTCCAGTTTTTATCCAATCTTCATGAAACTTGGTATGCATGTATATATTTATGAGAACTCAGTCAAGTTTGAAATTGGTAATAATTGAACGATAATGAACAGTTTCAAAGTTATTGCCCTTGTGTGTATGTAGATTAGACATTTTTCATGTTTGAATTTGATGAACTGTTTTTTAGGTTATACCTTGACTTGTAAATATTTTGAAGATTATTTCAAAACTCATGATTAAGCCACTAATGAGTTTGTTGTAATTTCTGACAGCTGTTTGTGTATTTATGTTACCTTGCCTAGCAAGCTATCTTAAAACTTTATTACAAACCAATAGATCAATGATCTGTGGATAAACTGGTCCAGAGGTGCCTAAATTTTACTGATATTGAGCTCACTGTGATATGTAATTTACAGGATCTCACTAGTGAGGCAGCTCATGTTCACTCTACAGAAGCACCTAATGTGGTAATATGTTAATAAATATGAATTTACTTCTAGGATCAACTTATAACAGTGTATGAAAATGGACATTTGCTAAAAGACTTTACATTTGAAGAAGTGAGAAAAAATGCTGAAATAGACTTAGAGAAACAGAATTAGTTTTACCTAGAATTGTATTCAGTCAACTGTCCATGACTTGTACATGTATATGATTGATAATCTATGCTGATACTTGCTTGATGTTGTGATATGAAATAGCAAATTTTCAATTTAGCACATAGTGATAGATAGATTTCAGAATTAATTTGTGTTCACTTCTTTTTATTAATATTTACTTTTACAAATTAACATTTTGTTAAAGACATATACATACCATTGGCCTATTAACTTACTAATTCTTGTATTATAAACCATAGAAATCTCTTCTCATTGGACAATGTAATAGAATTATATATGAAGATTAATATAACAATAAATACCTGTTCAACTTATTAAACATAAGAAAGAGTAATGACTACTTGGTAATAATTTGATCAAGTGACTTATTGACCTTATACTCTCAAATTTGGATATGTAAGCTGACATTTTATTAGGCTAACATATTGTTAAATTTTTAAAATTATAGCCATAGCTTAAAAGATCTGAACAAATTGTTTGAATTTCAATTCAAGTTGATATATTATTATCATTATTATCAGTATCCACTTTTTGACAGTGATGTTAAAACCTGACTTTAATGTATGCTAGAAATATATGACACCACAATAAAATTCTATATCAGGAACTTTGCACTTAAACACTTAATATGCAAACATTTGTGGTGTATATATTTAGATTTTATTTTAGATGAATTGAGTAATTAAATATTTACTGTATTTTATAAAGCCTATAGTTTTATTTAGTATTTCTGTAAATATCAAAGTTGCATGTCTCTCAAGATAATTATTTTTTTCTAATCTTAATAATAAAACTTCAAAATATTTCAAATTATTACAAGACAATCAATTTGTACGATTGTTGAAAATGTCCCTTTTTTACTTTAACTTTGAATGATATATGGTATATGAAACTATGCATGTAAAGTTGTAGAGTGAAATAATGACCTTCCTGGCATTATTATTTTCTAGCCCTTAAATCTGATGCTCATTTTCCAGTATTGTTTTTGTATTTTGTTATGTTAAATTGTATAACCTTTATTGATTATTTTTGGATGTAAGTATATAATACAATATTTTATTTTGAATCTTATGTTTGGAAAAATTTTTTTTTTTTTGTCTTTCTCAAACAAACATATGAACTCAGCTTCCCTTTTATTGTCAAAGTATTATTTGTTTTTATTTGTTGTTTTCTTTTGTTTATTTTGAATTAATTTGAATACTACTGATAATAATTATATTCATGGTATAAGTTATACACATAAGTAAATATTCAAGACTAATGAACTGTGTATGTTTTATGAACTAAAACTGATAATTAGTACAAAAGGAAAAGTTTCCATCCTTTTTTGGTCATTCACCCACGTATTCCAAATTCCAAGCAAATAGGTCATAAGAAATACATACACCCAGCTCAAAGAAGCTAACATATTGTAAAAAACATCGAAATTTCAAAAATTCAGAAATTTCAATTTTGCATTATATATCACTGGAAAGAGCACGATGAGCACATTCAGAATCTACAAAAATTTACCCTCAAAGTTAATTAGGTCACGAGCTAGAGCAATCCAAATTTGCGAATTTGGCTGCTTTTGGACAGCTATAAGACCGGAAGTAGACGTCAGAGGTCAAATATGAAAGCATCAACTCATAGCCAAGGTCAATGACCTTTGACCTAATAAAGGTCAAGGCCATCAAAGGTCATGGTCAAAAATGGAAAATTGTGAATTTCCAAAACCTGTTCCTTTTTTGAATTATGAAGCTGAACTAATTGACCTTCTAAGACAAAGTGGCTCAAGGGATGATGTAATTTTGAGCAAAGTTCCATTTTGAACAAATGTATTCTTTGTGAGTTATGTTTCTGGCCAAAAATGTCAATTATGTGTAATTTAACCCGGATGTGAATTTTTTTTGCATAGGTTAATTGATATTCAAAATGTAATATTATGTTCAAAATTTTAAGCTTCTACATCATGCAGGTCAAAAGATCAAAGGTCAAAATCGAAAATTGAAAATATGGAAATTTTAAAACCCGTTCCTTTTTTGAAACTATAAAGCTGAAACAACTGAGTTGTTAATACAAACTGGCCAAAAGGATGAGGTAATTGTGTGCAAAGTCCTTTTTTGAACAAATGTATCCTATGCGAGATATGCCCCTGCTCCTAAATGTAAACAATTAGTAATTCAACCCGCATGTGCCACGCCCACCTCAACTTTGTCATTAGTGAATTCATATTCAACATGTCTAGTTGTGTTCCAAATTTCAAGGTTCTACATCAAGTAGATCATAAGATATACATATTCCAAGCTCAAAGAGACATAAATATGGTAAAAGACCACTCAAATTTGAAAAAATCAAGAATTTCATTTCACAAATACGATTGTTATATATCATTGGAAAGAGCATGGGAAGCACATTAAGAATCCGAAAAAATTGACCCTTTAGGTTATTTAGGTCATATGCTAGAGCAAACAGCGAATTTGGCTGTTTTCGGAACGCTATAAAACCGGAAGTACAAGTCGGAGGTCAAATGTCAAAGTATCAACCGATAGCCAACTAATAGTTAATGACCTTTACCCTCACAAAGGTCAAGGTCATCAAAGGTCAAGGCAATGAGATAGAACTTGCAAAAACTTCAACCGGAAGTTGCAAAAAAGGAAAAGCGAAATTCAAAAATCGGCCTCTTAGTTTTTGTTGGCAATCGATTGTAGATTACATGCACATCAAAATTATACACGTCCATTTATTCATAGAGGCCCCATTTTTCGATTTACAAAAATGTGTTTTTTCAATATGGCGGCCTAAGTATCACTTCTAGTCTGGATTTTATTTTAAAATCGGCCATAGAATTTCATTTGGTAAAAATAAGCTAAATGTTGTTGACCTACATAAATTACACCGGAAGTTATTCAACCGGAAGTGAAATGAACTCAACAAATTCTTTATACAAATTATTATTCAAG